TCACGTAGGTGGAGTGTAGTGGTGTGAACATAGCTTACTGCAGCCTCGAACTCTTGGGCTCAAGTGATCCTCCTGCTTCAGCCTCCTAAGTAGGTGAAACTGCAGCACCACACAAGCTAATTTTGTTATTGTTGTTTGTTTGTTTGTAGAAACAAGGTCTTGCTATGTTGCTCAGGATAGTCTTGAACTCCTGGGCTCAGGTGGATCTCCTGCCTTGGCCTCTCAAAGTGTTGGGATTGCAGATGTAAACCTCCACACCTGGCCTGATTTAGATTTTCAAAGAATTTTTGAGACTTGCTTTGTGTACTAACATATACTCAATCTTGGACATGTTCCATGCACTATTGAAAACAATGTGTATTCTGCAACTGTTGGGTGAAGTGTTCTGCACTTGATCTTAGCCAAAAGGCTGAGAAGCGATTTGGGTGAAGTGTTCTGTAAATGCCTGTTGGGTCCATTTGGTCTATAATGGAGTTAAAATCAAATATTTCTTTCTTTTCTTTCTTTCTTTTTTTTTTTTTTTTGAGACAGAACCTCAAGCTGTCCCCCTGGGTAGAGTGTTGTGGCATCACAGCTTATAGCAACCTCCAACTCCTGGGCTCAAGTGATTCTCCTGCCTCCGCCTCCCAAGTAGCTGGGACCACAGGTGCCCACCACAACGCCCGGCTATTTTTTAGTTGCAGCTGTCATTGTTGTTTGGCAGGCTCAGGCTGGATTCGAACCCACCAGCTAGGTGTATGTGGCTGGTGCCTTAGCTGCTTGAGCCACAGGTGCCAAACCATAAAATCAAATATTTCTTTATTAATTCTGTCTAGATTATCTGTCTAATGCTGAGAGAAGGGTGTTAGAAATTTCCAACTATTATTGCATTTGGGATCTATCTCTTTTAGGTCTAATAATATAATATTTGCTTATGTATCTGGGTGCCCTGCTGTTGGTGTATATATATTTACAATTATTATATTCTCTTGCTGAATTAATCCCCTTTTTATTCATGTCCTTCTTTGTGTCTTTACACAGCTTTTGACCTGAAGTCTATTTTGTCTGATATAAGAATAGCTATTCCTGCTTGCTTTTGATTTCCATCTGTGTGGAATATCTTTGTCCATTTATTCACTTTTAATCTAGGTTTCTCTTTATAAGTGAGGTCAGTTACTTGTAGACAGCATATAGTTTGATCTTTCTAAAAATCCAGATAGTGTATATCTCTTAAGTGAGGGAATTTGTTCCATTTACATTACATTATTGATAGGCCAGGTGCAGTGGCTCACGTTTTTAATCCTAGCACTCTGGGAGGCCAGCAAACACAGGTGGATTGCTTGAGCTTGTTCCAGACCAGCCTGAGCAAGAGCAATACCCCCATCTCTACCAAAGATAGAAGAACTAGTGAGGTGTGGTGGTGCAGGCCTATAGTCCCAGCTACTTGAAAGGCTGAGGCAAGAGGATTGCTCAAGCCCAAGAGCTTGAGGTTGGTTTGAGCTATGACGCCACAGCACTCTACCCTGGGCAAAAGAGTGAGACTCTGTCTCCAACAAAAGAAAAGCTATGGCTCAGCACCTGTGGCTCAAGTGGCTAAGGCGCCAGCCACATACACCTAAGGTGGCGGGTTCAAATCCAGCCCGGGCCCGCCAAACAACAATGATGGCTGCAACCGAAAAAAAAAATAGCCAGGCGTTGTGGCGGGCACCCGTGGTCCCAGCAACTTGGGAGGCAGAGGCAGGAGACTCGCTTGAGCCCAGGAGTTGGAGGTTGCTGTGAGCTATGCCACGGCACTCTACCCAGGGGGATAGCTTGAGGCTCTGTCTCAAAAAAAAAAAAAAAGAAAAAAAGAAAAGCTATTATTAATAGGTGAAGATGTACTCCTGTTGTTTTATATTTGTTTTGTATATAATTTGTTCCCTCCTTTCTTATTATTTTTGCATTTGACTAGTCATTGGTAATTACAAAATTTGCTTTCCTTTTCTCCTTTGCACATTGGCTATACTAGTGAGGTTTATAGTTTTGCTTGCTTTCATAATGATTGCCATCTTCTCTCTTCCAGATATATTTCTCGTAAGACTAGTCTAGTAGTGATAAATTCCCTTAGGTATGCTTGTTTGGGAAAACTTTTATTTCTCTGCCATGTCCGAAGGATAGGTTTTTGAGATATAATATGTTTGGCTGGGAGTTATTTCCTTTCAGTACTTTGATTGTATTATCCCCAAACCTGGAATTACAGGCATGAGTCTCTGTGCCTAGTGCTGGTATTTTTTATAAAAAATGGATGGTGTGGGGATAGTTGTGCCCACTTGTAGTACTAGCTAAGTACCAGGTGTCTAAGTCAGGAAGATTGAGCCCAGGAGTTCAAGCCTGCAGAGAACACTGATTGCAGCATGGCACTCCAGCCTTGGTGACAGAGTGAGATCCCAACTCAAAAAAATGAATGGTACTGGTGGGAATGCAAGCTAAAATGACCTTTTTGGAAAGAAGTTTGAAGAATAATCAAGGAACTAAACATATGGGCGGTGCCTGTGGCTCAGTGGGTAGGGTACTGGCCCCATAGACTGAGGGTGGTGGGTTCAAACCTGGCCACAGCCAAATTGCAACAAAAAATAGCCAGGCGTTAAGGCAGGCACCTGTAGTCCCAGCTACTCAGGAGGCTGAGGAAGAGAATCGCCTAACCCCAGGAGTTAGAGGTTGCTGTGAGCTGTGATGCCATAGCAGTGAGACTCTGTCGCAATAAAAAAAAAAAAAAAGGAAACATAGACCTACGATTTGATCCTACAATTCCTCTACTAGGTATATACCCAGATGATCAAACATCATTTTACAACAAAGACATTTGCCCCAGAATGTTTATAGCAGCCCAATTCATAATTGCCAAGACATGGAAACAGCCCAAGTGCCCATTGACCCATGAATGGATTAACAAATAGTGGTATATGTACATCGTGGAACACTATATAGCCATAAAAAAGATGGAGATGTCACACCTTTTATGTTTACCTAAATAGAGCTGGAACATATTCTTCTTGGTAAATTATCTCAAGAATGAGGAAAAAAGTATCCAACATACTCAATACTACCATGAAATCAATATATAATCACCTACATATTCATAAAAATGGTAAATCATAACTATACTCCAGAAAGTAGAAGGGAAGAGGAGAGGGGAGTAGAGGGGGATGGTGGGAGAGGGTATTTGGGGGAACCTCACCTAACATGCATGATGCAATGGTACATGTCAAAACTATTAAGAAAAGAATATAACTGGGTGGCGCCTGTGGCTCAAAGGGTAGGGCGCTGGCCCCATATACTGGAGGTGGTGGGTTTAAACCCGGCCTCAGCCAAAAACTGCAAAAAGTTATTACTGTGATGGATGTGTTAATCACTTCAATGTAAACATTTCACATTGTGTATCAAATCAGTACACTGAACCCCATAAATGCATCAATGTACACAGTTATGCTTTAATAAAAACAAATAAAAATGAATGGTTCACTTTTTTGCATTGATTGAGATTATCATGTGGATTTTCATTTTTGGTATGATAATACAGTGAATTGCATTGACTTGATTGTTAAATGTTAAGCCAATCTTGTATTGGGATAAATTTCACTTGGTCATGATGTACTGTCCTTTTTATTGTTGGAGTCTATTTTCTAAAATGTCGTTTAAAATTTTTGCATCCCTCTTCTGGAAGACTGAAATCATCTAGACCTGAAGTTTTCCTTGTAGGAAAGTCTTCCACTAAAAAGTGAGTTTTTTAAAAATTAAATCTAAGTATTCAATATTTAAGTTTCTTCTTGAGAGGTTTGGTAGTTTGTATCATTCAAGAAATTTGCCTGTTTCATCTAAGCTGTGGAATTTATTGTCATATAGTTTTTCAGAATAATCCCTTATTTTTAAAATATCTGTAGTAGTAATGTTGCCTCTGTCATTCCTGATACCAATCTTAAGCGTCTTCTCTCTTTGGAACTTTATACTTTTATTTTTAGAGACAGTTTCACTTTGTCACCCTCAGCAGAGTGCTAAGTAGCTGGGACTATAGCCACCCAACACAATGCCCAGCTATTTGTGTTTCAGTCTGGCCAGGGCCGGGTTCAAATCTCCCACCCTCGGTATATAAAGCTGGTGCCCTACCCACTGAGCCACAGGTGCTGCCCTTTACACTTTTTTTAATCTTTAAAAAACACCTTTTCCAACTTGGCACCTATAGCTCAGTGGCTAAGGTGCCCACCACATACACCCGGGTTGATGGTTTGAACCCGGTTCAGGCCTGCTAAGCAACAACTGCAACCAAAAATAGCCAGGCATTGTGGCAGGCACCTGTAGTCTCATCTACTTGGGAGGCTGAGGCAAAAGAATCGCTTGAGCCCAAGAGTTCGAGGTTGCTGTGAGCTGTGACACCACAGCACTCTACTGAAGGCAACATAGTGATGTTCTGTCTCAAAAAAAAAAAACAGAAAAGAAAAATGTTCATGTATGTATTTGAAGGATGGGAATAACATACAACTACGTACAGAGGTCATCCTTGAGGGACTGAGATTATGATAAAAATGTCAGTTCAACTACACTGGGCAGTTTCATTTTATTTTATTATGTAAACTGTAGAAATCCTTGATTGAGGAAGACTAAAGACATCAGAAACTGAAGGATTTTCCTAGGAAAGCAATGTTTGCAGAAGCATGCCTTTGCTCTACTCATCATGAGCATCTATCTTCTTGACAATCCATGACAAGGCTCCATGGTATCCTTCTCACTCATCCTGGAGCCTTCGTCCTGGATATGAATATGGTTAAAGGTTGTGGAAATTTAAAAAAAAATTCATATATTATAGCCAAGCTCAGAGACTGGTCCTCTTTTACTTAGGTGTATCAGGAACAGGAACAATCAACATTTATTTCTGAAAGCATACCTTATCTCTGAGTTTTTTGATTTTGGACTCCAGCATAAGAGCTAAGCATTCTACTACCCTTCCTCCACTCACAAATGCCTGCATAGTTGCATGTCCAGCACTTCCAAGCCTCCTCCACCTCAACCCCTTGAGGATCTTGATGTCCCATCCAGTAAGTCATTTAATGCTGTACCTTGCCTCTCACCTCCTTCTCATCAAAGGCTATCATCTCTATAGCTAGGAGAGTGGCAGTCTCTTGGTGGATATACTCAACCTTCAGGATATCAATAACTGGGAGATGTGACAATGTTAGAGACAAGAAGACCAGTTCCATAAGGTCACCAAAAGACTTCACAGAGAAGCCTTCCTGCTGGGCATGCTTTAGCACTGAAGGGCCCAGTGCCCTTTCTGGACACAATTTTGTGTGGTGGATTATGCTAGCAGGGGTCACTTTCCCTTGTACCATGGCATCAAAGATACATTTGTATAGGCTGACTTGAAAATAGTCTTTCTTTTTCTGAGCTTCTAGAGGGAGTACAGGGTGCCTGCATGTCTTGAATTCAACCAGCTCCAGTTCCCCTTTTGCTGTATAGTGCAGCTCATCAATCACTCCAACAAGAAGCACGCCCTCCACTTCCCCAAACACTGGAAGTTTTCTGATGTGCCTTTCTGACTGCAGGGTAGGAATCACTGATATTATGTTCAGAAACGTAATTGCCCAATTATCTGCTTCAACGGTAGAGGGGATATTCACAAGATCACGAAGTTCTAGTTCTCTAGTGTCCAAAACAGGTGCCAGCTGTTCCTTTCCATATACTGTTTGCAGTTCACACCAGTTCTGAGTAGACAAATCAGTGACATATAAATATTTTAGGTGGAATCTCTCCATGGGTGATGAGATAGTCAATCCTCTTTTCCACTTTTATGAGCTTATGGGCTTATCATCCTTCCCAGGAGGTTCAGAAGGGCCAGGCTTGCTAAGTGAAGCACTGGACTCTTGGGCATCATCCAGGTCTAGAAAGGCAAAAACGTCACTCAAGTCTGAGAAGCCTGAGGCTTCTGCTGATACTGTCTCCTCTTCCCCAGTCTCTGCCATGGTACAGCTCTAGATTAGACAAGGAGGGCCCTGTGTAACAAGTTAAAGAAACATTGTCCAAGTAAGAAACTACTCAAAAGCACTTAAATTCCAGTAAGATTTTTTTAAAATCATGATAAATTACTAATGATCTTTAAAGACACCAATTTAATTATGACCAATGAGGCCACAGAGTTGCAGTACATGTACATTTTACAATAGAGTTCCCTGTATCATCCATATGCCTGCCTGAATTTTTAAAATGGAAATACAGTTTTATTCCTGGATCTGCACTAACATACGGTACGTGCTTTTAACTAATCACCTTGCTTGGCCTCAATTTCTTCACATTTAAAAGGAGATTTGAGGTTTGCCTTTTCAAAATTTTACTGACTTCAAACATTATTTCATTATTCTAAGTAAGTGCCCTTCTCTGTGGAGTGTGAACAATGTTTTATAGTTTATCATAGGCCATTTCTATGATTTCTTTGACATGTAGTCATTGACCAGGAAAGTAAATCTCAAACATGGACTATACCTTAAGAAAAATCAGCTCTATGATAACTTTTTTTTTAATTTGAGACAGGATATTGCTCTATTGCCATGGCTAGACTGCAGTGGCATGATCACAGCTCACTGCAACCTCAAACTCCTGGGCTCAAGCAATCTTTCTGCCTCAGTCGCCCCAGTAGCTGGGACTACAGGCATGCACCACCACACCAGCTAATTTTTCTTTTCTTTTTTTAAAAGACAGAGTCTCACTTTGTTGCTCCCAGTAGAGTGCTATGGCATCACAGCTTACAGCAACCTCCAGCTCTTGGGCTTAGGTGATTCTCTTGCCTCAGCCTCCCAAGTAGCTGGGACTACAGGTGCCTGCCGCAACGCCTGGCTATTTCTTTTGTTGCAGTTTCGCCAGAACCAGCCTAATTTTTCTATTTTTTGTAGAGATGGAGTCTCACTCAAATTTAGGCTTGTCTTGAACTCCTGAGCTTAAGCGATCCTCCTGCCTCAGCCTCCCAAAGTGCTAGGATTACAGTGTGAGCCACCAACACCTGGCCTATGATGACTTTTAAAATGTAGTTCTCAGGAACATAGTATGGCAAAATTCCAAGATTAACTACAGCTAAATACAAATAAACCTACTCAAACACAAAATGATGCATGAAATAATAGGAAAGAATATTCACAGTGACACATAGAAATCAGTAGCTTCTTATACTTCAGATATATTAAGGAAATGGCAAGAAAAAAAGCACTTGTGGGTTTTAATTTACCTTTACTGACTTTATAAATTATCCTTTTAACACAGAAATTGGTATTTACACTAAATTGCTGTTTTCCACTAGGCTTATTTTCTCTCTCCACAAGAAATTAGCTTATAATGGAAAATATTTGTCTATAAGTACTTTATAAAAGCACAAATTTATTGCTATAAATAATAGTGAAAAATTATTGTGCAGTTACTGTGTTCTAGGCACTGAGCCAAGTGTTTACATCTGGTATCTCACTACTCTACCACAGGATGGGTGCTGTACTCTTTTTTACTTTTAACTTTTTACTATAAAAAAATTTCAAATATGCATAAAAGTTGGAAGAATAGAACAATGAACAGCCATATACACACCATGGAAATAAACAATTGTCAATAATTTGCTTTATTTGCCCCCTCTGTATACATTTTTTTGGCCTAACTATTTTAGAGTAAATTACAGATATTATAACATTTCAAATCTAAATGTTTCAGCACACATTTCCAAATGACATTTTCCTTCATAATTACTTTTTTTTTTGAGATAGAGTCTCATTATGGTGCCCTCAGTAGAGTGCCACGGCGTCACAGCTCACAAGAACCTCAAACTCTTGGGCGCAAGTAATTCTCTTGCCTCCGCCTCCCAAGTTGCTGGGACTACAGGCGCCTGCCACAATGCCCGGCTATTTTTTGTTGCAGTTGTTTAGCTGGCCCAGGCTGGGTTCAAACGCACCACCTTCAATGTATGTGGCTGGCACCATAACCACTGCGCTATGGGTGCTGAGCCCATAATTACATTATTACCACATTTAACAAAATTAATAATTTCCTACTACTTCAGTCCATATTCAAATTTCCCCATCTGTCTTTAAAAAGTCCTGGATAGCTTTCTCCTTTTCTTTAAACCTGGAAAAAAGACTACACATTATGTTTGATTGTTTTGTCTCTTAAGTATTTTTAATCTTAAGAAACTAGGCAAATTATCTTGTGAAGGTATTCTTTTTAAGCCTTCCTCCAAGCCTCACATATCTAAGCTTGCGTAGAGAGAAAGCAAAATAAGGTATGACCACGCAAGTATATTCGATGTTGAGTGTCAGAAAAATAATTTAACACAGAATTTAAGCTGACAGAGGTAACTATGAACTGTCTCTTTCTTGCTATTCTAATAATCAGTGAATATGATAAGTGCATAAACTCCCATGTCAAATCTTAAGAAATGAAGCCCTGGAAACTGTCTTTAATGTTATGGTTGTGTTTAAATAATTTTTAAACAGTCTACATGTCACTAATAAAAGAAAACATAGATAGCCAGAAAAAAAGTTATATGCAATGAACAAACAAATACAGTGGTAAGACTTTCACTTACAGAGTAAGTTATTGTTGTATAACATACTTAAAAAAACTTTAAATGTTGGTCCTGGGGCAAAAAATATTAAAACACAGAAACCAGCTTGGTGCCTGTAGCTCAACAACTAGGGCACCAGCCACATACACCAGAGCTGGAAGGTTTGATCCCAGCCCTGGCCTGCCAAACAACAAAGACAAATACTACCAAAAAATAGCTGGATGTTGTGGCGGGCATCTGTAGTCCCAGCTACTTGGGAGGCTGAGGCAAGAGAAACACTTAAGCCTAAGAGTTTGAGGGTGCTGTGAGCCGTGACAACATAGCACTCGACTGAGGGTGAGATAGTGAGACTGTGTCTCAAAAAAAAAAAGAAGTCACACATCTGCACAAGTGTCTTAAACTGTAAATATGCTTTAAATGATAATTTCAAAATTAGTAATTTTATTTGCACTTTATTATAAAGTGTCTGAAAATTTGAGAGAATCTTTACCCTCCAACAAAATGTGTGCTCTGAGGTTTTTGTGACAGGGAAGAGGGGCACTAAGGTCAAATGAATTAACCTTAAAAATATTTTATTTCAAATATCTGGACCTGGCTGTCCAATATGGTAGTCATATGTGGCTACCTAAATTTGATTAAAATAAAATTTAAGGCTCGGCACCTGTGGCTCAATGGCTAAGGCGCCAGCCACATACACCTAAGATGGCGGGTTCAAATCCAGCCAGGCCCACCAAACAACAATGATGGCTGCACCCAAAAAATAGCTAGGCGTTGTGGCGGGCACATGTGGTCCCAGCTACTTCAGAGGCTGAGGCAGGAGACTCGCTTGAGCCCAGGAGTTGGAGGTTGCTGTGAGCTTTGATGCCACGGCACTCTACCCAGGGGGACAACTTGAGGCTCTGTCTCAAAAAAAAATAAAAATAAAAATAAAATTTAAAATTCATTTTCTTGGGTGGTGCCTGTGGCTCAGTGAGTAGGGCACTGGCCCCATATACCAAGGGTGGTGGGTTCAAACCTGGCCCCAGCCAAACTGCAACAAAACAATAGCCAGGCATTGTGGCAGGCACCTATAGTCCCAACTACTCAGAAGCTGAGGCAAGAGAATCACCTAAGCCCAAGAGCTGGAGGTTGCTGTGAGCTGTGACACCATAGCACTATACTGAGGGTGACAAAGTGAGACTCTTGTCTCTAAAAAAAAATAAAAATAAATAAAATAAAACCCATTTTCTCAGTTGCACTAGCCATTGTTTTTAGCTACATATAGTGGGTACAGTATAAGGCACAGATATAGAACATTTTGCTGATTACAGAAAGTTCTACTGAACAGCACTGATTTAGACTATTTCGTGTGCATTCATTAACATGAATGAGAAAGTAAGTTCCTGAAAGGTACATACCTTCTATTATTTTTACATACAAAATTGAGACTGGGTTAGTCCTAAACAGGTAAGTGAAAACTTCTATGGAGAAGAATCAGAGGGGACATTCTCTTTGGAATTATTCATCTAAAAGAAAACAATATACTAGGGATGGACAATTTACATTCAGATGTGTGGTTGGGACTTTCCTATGCAGAAAAAAAAAAATCCAGAGAGAGTATAATGTAGCACATTGTATCCTACAATGTAGTTTATCTTCAAGACATGAGATAATTTTACATGGTACATGGACCAACATCATTAAGATACACTTTAGAATAACTATGAAACTACTGGAATATCCATGAAATGTCTAATTTCATAGATATTTCTTAGGACAAATTTGATTTTTTTAAAAATGTAAGTAAAAAAATTATGAGAATAACAATATGGGTAGTACATAGGTATGGCAAAAATTGTTGGATGTTAAATGAATGAGATATTTGGGAAGCACCAGCATAGTGTCAAAGAGTCTGGGCGGGGGGACTCTTACAGATCTGGATTCTGAACCTGATCCTGCTCCTTGCCTTTTGAGTAATCTTGGACAAAGTTTTAATTTTCCTGAAGCTACCTACTGACATATCTTAAAATGAGGGTATTCCTTCTAACCCTACTCAGCTACTAAACTATGAGTGATAAACACAGTACACATATTAGCGCTCAATAATTGTGGGACTCCTCCTTCCTATGTAAGAGATGAGACAAACTAGACTTTTAGAAGAGTGGAAACTCCTACTCACCTGGGACTCAGTTGATCTTCCTCCTCACAGGGAAGGCCAGAATACTGAAATGAGAAGGCTAG